TTGACAAAATTCAACAGCCCTTCATGCTAAAAATGCTCAATAAATTCGGTATTGATGGAATGTACCTCAAAATCATAAGAGCTATTTATGACAAACCCACAGCCAATATCATACTGAATGGGCAAAAACTGGAAAAATTCCCTTTGAAAACTGGCACAAGACAGGGATGCCCTCTCTCACCACTCCTATTCAACATAGTGTTGGAAGTTCTGGCTAGGGCAATCAGGCAAGAGAAAGAAATCAAGGGGATTCAGTTAAGAAAAGAAGAAGTCAAATTGTCCCTGTTTGCAGATGACATGATTGTATATTTAGAAAACCCCATTGTCTCAGCCCAAAATCTCCTTAAGCTGATAAGCAACTTCAGCAAAGTCTCAGGATACAAAATTAATGTGCAAAAATCACAAGCATTCTTATACACCAGTAACAGACAAACAGAGAGCCAAATCAGGAATGAACTTCCATTCACAATTGCTTCAAAGAGAATAAAATACCTAGGAATCCAACTTACAAGGGATGTAAAGGACCTCTTCAAGGAGAACTACAAACCACTGCTCAGTGAAATCAAAGAGGACACAAACAAATGGAAGAACATACCATGCTCATGGATAGGAAGAATCAATATCGTGAAAATGGCCATACTGCCCAAGGTAATTTATAGATTCAATGCCATCCCCATCAAGCTACCAATGAGCTTCTTCACAGAATTGGAAAAAACTGCTTTAAAGTTCATATGGAACCAAAAAAGAGCCCGCATCTCCAAGACAATCCTAAGTCAAAAGAACAAAGCTGGAGGCATCACGCTACCTGACTTCAAACTATACTACAAGGCTACAGTAACCAAAACAGCATGGTACTGGTACCAAAACAGAGATATAGACCAATGGAACAGAACAGAGTCCTCAGAAATAATACCACACATCTACAGCCATCTGATCTTTGACAAACCTGAGAGAAACAAGAAATGGGGAAAGGATTCCCTATTTAATAAATGGTGCTGGGAAAACTGGCTAGCCATAAGTAGAAAGCTGAAACTGGATCCTTTCCTTACTCCTTATACGAAAATTAATTCAAGATGGATTAGAGACTTAAATGTTAGACCTAATACCATAAAAATCCTAGAGGAAAACCTAGGTAGTACCATTCAGGACATAGGCATGGGCAAAGACTTCATGTCTAAAACACCAAAAGCAACGGCAGCAAAAGCCAAAATTGACAAATGGGATCTCATTAAACTAAAGAGCTTCTGCACAGCAAAAGAAACTACCATCAGAGTGAACAGGCAACCTACAGAATGGGAGAAAATTTTTGCAATCTACTCATCTGACAAAGGGCTAATATCCAGAACCTACAAAGAACTCAAACAAATTTACAAGAAAAAAACAAACAACCCCATCCAAAAGTGGGCAAAGGATATGAACAGACATTTCTCAAAAGAAGACATTCATACAGCCAACAGACACATGAAAAAATGCTTATCATCACTGGCCATCAGAGAAATGCAAATCAAAACCACAATGAGATACCATCTCACACCAGTTAGAATGGCGATCATTCAAAAGTCAGGAAACAACAGGTGCTGGAGAGGATGTGGAGAAATAGGAACACTTTTACACTGTTGGTGGGATTGTATACTAGTTCAACCATTATGGAAAACAGTATGGCGATTCCTCAAGGATCTAGAACTAGACGTACCATATGACCCAGCCATCCCATTACTGGGTATATACCCAAAGGATTATAAATTATGCTGCTATAAAGACACATGCACACGTATGTTTATTGCAGCACTATTCACAATAGCAAAGACTTGGAATCAACCCAAATGTCCATCAGTGACAGATTGGATTAAGAAAATGTGGCACATATACACCATGGAATACTATGCAGCCATAAAAAAGGATGAGTTTGTGTCCTTTGTAGGGACATGGATGCAGCTGGAAACCATCATTCTTAGCAAACTATCACAAGAACAGAAAACCAAACACCGCATGTTCTCACTCATAGGTGGGAACTGAACAATGAGATCACTTGGACTCGGGAAGGGGAACATCACACACCGGGGCCTATCATGGGGAGGGGGGAGGCGGGAGGGATTGCATTGGGAGTTATACCTGATGTAAATGACGAGTTGATGGGTGCAGCACACCAACATGGCACAAGTATACATATGTAGCAAACCTGCACGTTGTGCACATGTACCCTACAACTTAAAGTATAATAATAATAAATAAATTAAAAAAAAAAAAAAAGAAATAGAAAGCAAGCAGGTATGAATGACACAGTAAAGGCACTGCCCCCAATTTGCTGTGGAGTGGAGGATGGTGAAGGAGAGCAGAGTCAGAGAAGACTTTGTGGCTTGGGATTTGAACCACAAAAGGCAAAGTAAATTTCAATGGGAAGGTGAAGAGTTCAGTTTTGAACATGTGGAACATAATACACATGTGAAACTATCTTGCAAGACGTTGGAAGTGTGGGCTGGAGAAAGTTTGCAGCTACAGATGTTGAAACATTGTGGGAATCACTGAAGCCAGAGTAGGTCAGGCCATCAGGAGCAGCACAATCTCTTTGATTCCTTGTAACATAAACTCTCACTCATTTTTCTTTTTCTAGTTACTTAAGGTATAAAATTCAGTTGTTGATTTGAGATCTTTCTTTTTTTTAAATGTAAATACTTACGGCTACACAGTTTTTTCTTTGCACTGCTTTCACGGCATCCTGTAAGTTTTGGTATGTTGTATTTTCATTTTCATTTATCTCAAGGTATTTTCTAATTTTCCTTGTGATTTCGTCTTTAACACAGAGGTTGTTTAAGAGTGTGTGTTAAATTTCCACATATTTGTAACTTTCCAGTTTTCCTTCTACTATTGATTTCTAGTTTTATCTTATTGTGGTTAAAAAAGATACGTTGTGTGACTTCGTAATTTTAAATTTGTTAAGACTTGTTTTGTGGACTAGTACATCCTGAAGAATGTTCCAGGTAACACTTGAGAAAATATGTATCCTGCTGGTGTTGAGTGAAGTGTCCTCTATATGCATGCTAGTTATAATTGGTTTGTAGTTGTTCACGTTCTCTATTTCCTTATTGATCTTCTGTCTGGTTGTCTTATCAATTTTTGAAAGTAGGGTATTGAAATCTTCTACTACTATTGTAGGCCTGTGTTCTTCTCCCTTCAAGTCTGTCAATGTTTGCTTCATATGTTTTGGTGCTCTGATATCTGGTGCATACATGTTTATATTTGCTATATCTTCTTGGTAAATTAACCCTTTGATCAATATATCATAACCTTCTTTGTCTCTTGTAAAGTTTCTAATAGTATGTTGTCTGGTTTTAATATAGCCACTCTTAACTGTTTTTTGCTGATATTTGCATAGAACACCTTTTACAATCCATTTTCTTTCAACCTATGTGTGTCTTTAGATCTAAAGTGAGTGTCTTATAGGCAGCATATAATTGGATTATGCTTTTTAAAAAATACATTCTAGCAACCTGTGCCTTTTGTTTGGGAAATTTAAGCCATTTGCTTTGAAAGTAATTAGTAATAGGGAAGAACTTTCTTATGCCATTTTGTTATTTTTCTGTAAGTAAGTCTTATAGCTTTTTTGATCCTTATTTCCTCCATTCATTCATTGGGTTTAGTTGATTTTCTTGTAGTGACAAGTTTTGGTTTCTTTCTATTTTCCTTTTGTGTATATTCTATACATATTTTCTTTGGGGTTACATGAGGATTACAAATAGTATCCTAAAATTATAACATTGTATTTTGAATTGATACAAAATTAACTTCAATTGCATATAAAAACTATACTTCTTTGAAACTACTCCCAATACTTTATGTTATTGAGGTCACAAATTATATGTAGTGTACACATTAACATAGGTTTATAGTTATTTGTATGCATTTGTTTTTTAAATCCTACAGAAAATAAAAAGTGGAGTTATAAATCAGAATTACAATGCCAGACTTTACATTTGTCCATATCTTTACTTTTACCAGAGATCTTCATATCTTCTTTGAGTTACTTTAGAGCAACCTTTCTATTCAACCTGAAGGACTCACGTTAGCATTTCTTGCAGGGCAGAACTAGAAGTAATGCATTTTCTCAGTTTTTGTTTTGTCTTTATTTCTCCCTCATTTTTGAAGGACAGTTTTGCTAGATACAGTTGTTTGTGTGTGTGTGTGTGTTTTATTTTGGGACTTTAAATATTGTCCAACTGCCTTCTGGTCTCTAAGGTTCCTGATGAGAAACTAATCTTACTGAGGATCTACCGTATATGATGAATAACTTTTCTCTTGATCTTTCAAGATTTTCTTTGTTTTAGCCTTTCAGCAGTTTGTCTTCAATGTGTCTCAGCATGGGTGTTTTTGGTTTTATCCTACTTGAAATTCATTGAGATTCCTGAATTTGTAGATTCATGTCTTTCCTCAAATTTGGGAAGCTTTCAGCCATTATTTCTTCATGTAAGCTCTCTTACCCTTTCTCTCTTCTCTTTCTGGGACTTCCACAGGCATATATTGATCCTCTTGGTAGTATCTCTAAATCCCTTAGGCTCTGTTCACTTTTCTTTATTCTCTTTTCTTTCTGCTCCTCAGACTTGATAATTTCAAACGTCCTATCTTCATGTTTACTGATAGTTTCTTCTACCTGTTCAAGTCTGCTATTGAAACCTTCTAATTCATTTTTCAATTCAGTTTTTGTATTTTTCAGCTCCATCATTTCTGTTTGGCTTATTTTATAATTTCTGTCTTTTTCTTGATACATTTATTGTGTTCATACATTGTTTTCCTGATTTTCTTTCTTTCTTTCTTTCTTTTTTTTGAGACAGTGTCTTATTCTGTTGCCCATGCTGGAATGCAGTGGCAGGATCATGGCTCACTGAAGCCTTGATTTTCTAGGCTCAAGCAATCCTGCCACTTCAGCCTCCTGAGTAGCTGGGACTACAGACACATGCAACCACGCAGAGCTATTTTTTTTTTTTTAACAGAGACAGGGGTGTCACCATATTGTCCAGGCTGAGCTCAAATGATCCTCCTACCACAGCCTCCCAAAGTGCTGGGATTACAGGCATAAGCCACTGGGCCCAGCCTCCCTTCATTCTTTATCTATGTTTTTCTTTAGCTCTTTGAGCATATTTAAGACTGTTGTTTCAAATTCTTTGTCTTATGTCTGATCCTGTGTTTCCTCAGGGACGGTTTCTGTCTTTTTATTTTATTTGTTTGAATGGGCTATGTTTTCTGATTTTTTTGTGCGTACCTTGTGATGTTTTGTTGAAAATTGAGTGCTTGAAAAAAACAGAACAAAACAAAACAAAACCATAAACTTCTCTCAGTCTTTACAGGCTGGCTTTGTGCCAGGGCCATCCTCATCTAATTAGCCAGGTACGTTCTGAGCCTTTGGATCTGTCTGAGGAGAAAGGTTAAAGTCGTCTCAGGTCTTTTCTGAGCATGCATCTTGCCCGGATGTGCATGGCATTTCTATCACCCCATATACACAGCTGCTTATACATGTCTTAATTCCACAGAGTCTTACCTCAGTTTCTCCTCAGGGACTTAAATGGTCTATTCTACATTTCCATCTGTCAGCCAAGGTATCTATAAGTCTTAGTCTCTCTGCAGCTTCCCAGATAGTGCCTGCTACTTCTCACTGCCTCAGCTCTGAGTTAGGTGCAAGGAAGCTCTGAGTTAGGTGCAATCTTCAGGAAGCCCCCAGGTAAGTTAGGACATTGTGAATAAGGTCCACTCTGCTCCCTCCAATTCAAGTGATGGGATTGAGAACTGCCATCTCCTTCAGACCAAGATGGTGGCATGTCAGAGAAAGGAGGGGAAGGGTGAGTAAAAATACCACAAAATTTTCTACCATTTTAAATTTTACTTATTTTTGATTGGGCATTTTCTTGACTGCTATAGACCTTTGACTGTTTTTCATAGCTCATATTAGAATACTTTATCCTGTTTTTTGTTTGTTTGTTTGGTTGGTTTTTGTTGTTGTTGTTGTTGTGTCTCTGTGAGGGAACAAGGCTTGATACTCCCCAGTGTGCCATTTTGTTGATGTCACTCTCCATTACCATTTTTATGACTCCTTCTGGCTGCTGGATACCCTTGACAGACCAAAATGAAGGCAGACAAGAGAGTAAAAAACTGTGTCTCTTTTCATGTGCCATAACAGATGAATTTTTCCTATGAACAGTATCTATGCTACTCAGGAATGACAAGCTATAAAGAATGAGCATATATAAACAGAGACCTTGGAAAGCCCCAACTCTTTAAATCTTAACCACTATTCCAAAACATCAAACAACCCTATCCTTTTATAACCCTAATGTGAACTTTGATTTTGCCATGGTTGAGGTGATTTTGCCATGGTTGGTCCCAAAGCATATCTTGTTCTGGATAGGCAGCTGTGAAAATACTGACCTTCTTAGCTTGGGTTCCCCTGAAAGCAAAGTCGTTTATCTGGGAGGTGATTCCCAGTTGCAGAAATGAGGGATGAAAGAGAATGAGAAACAGAAGAAGAGGAGGCCAACATAAGAATGTTGCATTGATGCTGCTGCCATGCACATTGAGAGCTCAATTTTGCTGATTTTCCTGAGAAGCATCCAGAATCATCAACCCCCAGGAATTGCCCACAGAACAGATGGGAAGCCAGAGTATTTACTGACTGTCAAAGGTGTCCCCTGGGGAAATTAACTCCTTCTCTGATTTTCCTCAGAGCTGCACATGTACCTGGGTCTGTCTCTGAGGTATTATACTGCAGGTGGGACAGTAGTGGAGTCTGCCACTGGTCAAGGGTGTGTGGTACTCCGTGGCTAAAGCAGTACTCCATGGCAACTGGGGATGCTGATGTGTGTTGGGAGGAGTCAAGATGTCCACAGAATGGCAGTCATGTGACAGCCTCATAAGTATAGATGAGGTGCTCTACCAAACAGAACTCAACAGTGTAAATGTAGAATCTCATCTTTTATTTTTCTCCTGTTTCCCTTCTCTCTTTTTTCCTTGTCAAATTTCATCTATTTATTAAGAATATGAGTGCCATAATAATATAGAACTGAATTCCATGCTTTTCCAAGTCACTGCAGTTACACGAGTTGGCCCCCCACCACCTTGTTTTCTTAGTTTCCTGGTGACTATTAACCAGAGACATGTATTTCAATACCAGAGAGCAGTCCTTAGCATATTGTTGGGCTTTTCAGGGTAACTTTCTATATATGGAGGAAGCAAGAACTCAGGGTTTTGCAAAAAGCTGTGGGTTCAAGTGGTTAATCTGCACTGGTTTGCATTAGCTTACGTGTGGGAAATGCAACACAAAGGAGGTGCCCAGCAACCCTGCACATAACGTGCAACCACTCATTCCGACTCTTTTCCCTGAGGATTTCTTTTGGCTGAACAGCAAGCTCTCTGGGCTCTGCAACTAGAGAACATCTCTAACATAACATAAACGTTGGGCAGCTGCTGGGAGCTGGAGAGGGCTCGGTCTGAACAGCTGTGTGAGGTTTGACCTTGGGGAAAACAACACCAAATCCCACTACCATAGGCTGGTTTCCATTTGGACTTAGTGCAAATGAGGCATAATAACAATTAAACAGATATACTTGGAAGGGAAGGAAATTAAAAAGGCATTTTATGTGGGGTAAGGAGAGTGGGTAAAGAGAAGAAATTTCATGGATGATAGCAGAGAGAAGCTTTTTTGGAACTGACAGAGGTAAAAACTATTACGGGTTGTTAGCTTTATGAGAGTAGGAACTTTCACTTTTACTTTATGTGATTCTGTACTGTTTAAGTACATTTGTTTATTACAAACATGCCCAATTTTCTAACTCATCCCCCTAGAACACAGAGAGACCCACCAATTGTAGAAGTGTAGACATGTGAAAGGAGAGGGGTTGAGGGGTGAAGCTGTGTTTTAAGATAGCCACAGACACTGATTAGACAGTTTGGGATGCTTCTTTGACTTGGATACTCAGTGGTAAACATCTTAGCTAAAAGATGTCCTGGGAAAGATTATATGAGGACTTGGGGCTTTAAATCTTGGGAGAAGACTTTTGTAAGATCACTTGAAATTCCCTAGGAATTGCTTACAGCACTATCATAAAAGGAACAAAAAAATCCATGTGAAAATATTAATCATAGGAGGCTGGAAAGGCAAAGACATTTGTGGCTGTGGACAATTTCAAATAAATTTTGTTGCCTTCCTTAAGCAATGCCAGCTGTGGGCCTGCTTTCTCAAACCAAGATGAACTGTAAGAGAAGAAAGGGGAGGAAAGGTCCGTCCCCCATAAAGACTGCAAGTGTGTCTGAATTAAGGCAGCTAAATTCTATTATTTTCATGTTCCTCAAATCACTATTGTAGGGTGGGGTTCATAAAGACATAATAAGTGTTTGTTCAACTAAATATTTCAGTGACCCAAAGTCTATGTGGATTAAGAAAATTAAAATTATGTTCAATTTTCCTATTGAATTTGAATCCTGAGACTTTACTAAGCTTAAAAACCATTGTGTTTTTAAGTGGCTTCTTAAACAAGTTTACCCAAAGGCTTGAGTCATTTGATGAATGTGTTTGCTTTATGGCATAGCTTAGCATGAGCTTTGCTGTCAGATGTGAGTTCTGGCTCCAACATTTACTAGTTATTTGACTGTGGGAAAATGGTTTAGCCTATTTAAAAGCTAAGTTTCTTCAGTTATAAAGTGAGTTTAATAACGGTACCTAATGTATGGAAGTTTGGTGATTAAGTGAGATAATACTTACAGAATACCTACCTCAGCATTTTTCACAGACAAAGCACTCAATGTTAATTGTAGTTGGTCATCAACATCTTCCTCCTCTTCTCCCTCATTATCTAGAAGAAGGGTGGGTAAACTGGGGACCCACTGCTAGGTTTTGTAAATAAGTTTTATCAGAACAGCGTCATGTCCATTTGTTTGTGTACGTTCTACAGTGGCTTTCATTCTACAGGGCAGAGTTGAGTACTTGTGATAGAGACCATGTGACCCACAAAGCCTAAAATATTTACTCTTTGGCCCTTTACAGAAAAAATTTGCTGATCCCTATTCTAGAAGGAAGAAAATCTAGGGATGTGTTTGTACTTTTCCTGAGCTTAAATTACCAGGAACTCATAGCTTTGATTAGAAGAAACTAGATGAAGAGTTTGAATAAACCCTTAAGGCATGGAATATTATGTTTTCTTCATAGATTTTATAAATATGCTTAGAGGCAGAGATGATTACATGCTAAGAAAGACATGGGGAATCTTTAAACCTAAACATTCCACCTTAAGAAAAAGAACAGTTAGAATCTTTTGGCTTAATAGAAAAGCCACAGAAGCAAGCAGAGAGATCCTAATGAGTTAGAGGACAATCATTTCCAAGGATTTTGAGTGTGTCTTAAGTTATTTTATTAAAATAAAAATTTATTTTTTCTGAGTGCAGAGGCATAATCTGGAGGTCAGAGAGCACTTATAGCCAGGAAATGTTTGCACATAATAACAAATATGCTATTTGTTCCCAGGAATTTTTTTTCTTTAAACCTCAGAGTCAACACAGTCAAATACAGAGCAAGTGGAATTTCTGCTCTGTAATTCTAAAATTGTCTTTTTAGACTCATAGCAGAGAAAATAATCCAAAAAAAGCCACTTGGAAGAAAGAGTGACTAAAGTTGATGACAACAGATTGGAAAGATAATTAAAAAGCATCAAAAAACCACAACACTTTCAAGATTAGATAAAAACTGCTCTGGGCAGATGAGCTGGAGAGGGTAAGAAAAGGAGAGGACCTGCCTAAGGAGAAAGGTTGGTATGGCTCAGCACGAGGCCAGGGGAACCATAAGGACAGAGTTAGTGATAGCATTAGAAGTTGGCTGGCCTCAGGCCACAAGCGCCACCCTACACGGGGGCTTGGCGAGCCACACAAGAGTTGAGTTATAGGGTCCCATCACCCTTTCATGAACACATGACATGTGTCTCTTGGCCTATGGGACTATGTTAGATGATCTTGTCTAGAAGGAATGATAGATGGCCCTCGGTGCCCTTAAACTTAGCTCATCTCTTTTCAAACTACCGCATATAATTCTCACGTTAAGGGCTAAGGGTGTGTGTGCATAAACAGAGAGTGGGACCTGGGCTACTGCAGGGTTGAAGTAAGGTAGAAATAACAGTTCCCAGCCTCCATCCTGGGGCTGGAAGACAGTGCAGGGTTGATGTTAGCTGTGTATATCCCCCAAACCAAGACTGGTGGGATCCACCCTGTGGAACATAGTAATGGTTAAGAGGCTGTTAAGAAATTGATATGCAGAAGGTCCCAAGCATTTCTCATTTGTCCTAAGCTTGTCCTAAGGTGTATAATAGTGATCATGTAAAGCACTGGAAACACTGCTTGCAGGGTAAGTGCTCAATGCATGATTGCTAGTTGGTTTTTTTCAGGAAAACAGAACAAATATGTTAGATCTAGATATATATAAGGGGGGATTTACCATGGGAATTGGCTCACACAATTCTGAAGGCTGAGGAGTCCCATGACAGGCTTGTCTGTAGGCTGGAGAACCAGAGAAGCTGGTGGTATGATTCAATCTGAGTCCAAAGGTCAGAGAATCCTGGTGGGGGATGAAAAGAGGAGGTGCTTATATAATTCCTAGAGTTCAAAGGCTCAAGAACTTGGAGTTCTGATATTCAAGGGCAGAGAAAGTGGATGTACCAGCCCCAAAAGAGAGGGAAGATGCACCCCTCCTCTACCATGTTATTGTCCTCAGTGGATTGGATGATACCTCCCCAACACTGGTGAAGGCAGATTTTACTTGCTCAGTCTATTGACTCAAATGCTAGTCTCTTCCAGAGACACCCTCACAGACACACTCAGAAATGTTTCACCAGCTATCTGGGCATCCCTTAGCTCAGTCAGGCTGACAAATAAATTAACAAACACATTGCTATTATTTTTATGGTTGAAACCAAACTGAAAACTTTGGTTTTTGCTGTTTAGCAAAGAAATTCTATTTGTTTTTTAAAAACAAACAAGCAAAAAGCACCTAACCTGAGAAGTCAGCACAGCCTTCAGATCCTCACCCCTAGAAAGCTCTTGTCTTGGCTGCTCCCTCCTCCTCGCGAGAAATTCCTTATGCAGTACGTGCAGGAACTGCCTGCGTGGGATGATCTGTGAGCTACATGTGGACTACCCCAATCTGCTTTTTGTTCCTAATTCCTGAATGAGCAACTGAAAATTCCCCATGTGATCACTCCCTCTACCAGCTCCGGCTTTCCCAGAAATGCCAGGCTTGCTGTTTTGTACATTTGCAGGATAAAAGAAATGTAAACATTTAAATAATAATGTATTTTTAAAGGCATAATGAGGTTAGTTAGGTAAAACAACCCATCTCACATCATCTGCAGAAGAAATCTAATAAGTTTTGGGGTTCATTGGGGAACCAGAGAATATTCCATTTTATGAGAGGATTAAGTTTTTATTGAATTACGTCTTTATTCAAGGCTCTTTGGTTCATCTACTAAAATAGGGAGTTTAAACTCAGTGATCTTTGGACTAGTAAAATGAAAATCATGATAAGAATCTTTTCATAAATCAGTTCTTTCTTTCTTTTGTTTCTTTTTTTTGAGACAGAGTCTTGCTCTGTCACTCAGGCTGGAGTGCAGTGGTGTGATCTCGGCTCACTGCAACCTCCTCCTCCTGGGTTCAAGCAATTCTCCTGCCTCAGCCTCCTGAGTGGCTGGGATTACAGGTGTGCACCACCACGCCCAGTTAATTTTTGTATTTTTTTTAGTAGAGACGAGGTTTCACCTTGTTGGTCAGGCTGGTCTCAAACTCCTGACCTTGTGATCTGCCCGCCTCAGCCTCCCAAAGTGCTGGGACTACAGGTGCCTGCCACCACACCCAGCTCTCTCTCTCTCTCTCTATATATATATATACACACACACACACACACATATATATATATATATTTTTTTTGTATTTTTAGTAGAGATGGGGTTTCACTGTGTTAGCCAGGATGGTCTCGATCTCCTGACCTCGTGATCTGCCCGCTTCAGCCTCCCAAAGTGCTAGAATTACAGGCGTGAGCCACCGCGCCCGGTCTATGAATCAGTTCTTTCAACAAAGACTCTACTGGGGCTGAGGGCTGCCAGATATTGGGTGTCCCTGGAGATGAAGCCAGTTGTGTCTATTGGCCTCTTCTCCAAATAGCCAAAGCAAGTGTGCTCAGTGCCCTGGAGTGACCCAAGGGCAGTGGAATGAATAGTAAAAAATGTCTCAGGAAAACTGAGTTCTAGTTATGGTTTTTCCATTAATAGTTGAGGCTCCCAAGCTTCTCTGGGCTTCAATTTTATCATCTGTAAAAATAAAGGCATAAGACTATTGGTGATTTTGAAATACTGATCTCATGTCAGGCTAGTGACTTAAAATCCCTCCAGGAGAGGTTGTTAAAGGTACACATTTCTTAGCACAAATCTGGAAACAACCCAAGTGCCCATGAGTAGGGGAGTGGTTAAAATAAGTCATGGTATACCCAACCATAATTGCCCTTTGAAAACTATGAATTAGATCTGCATGTGCTGATATAGAAAGATCTCTAAGGAATATCGACTGAAAAAAGTAAAGTACAGAGCAATATATATGGCAAAATTCCTCTTGTGTAATGGAAAATGTGCATGTGTGTGTGTATGTGTGTGTGTGTAACTGAAAATGAATATATATTCATATATAAATGCATATATATATATGGCACAAACTTGCTTTCAGTTATTGTTTATGTGGGGGTATACATGAAACTGTTAAGAGTGTTTATCTTAATAAAGTCTAACAGCTGTATGGGCAGGATAATATTTAAGGTATTGCTAACAACAATAGTAATGTTAATAGTTAAGGACTGATTCACCCCACCTATTTCTGATGTCTTCTTTTTTTGTACCCGTCAACATTTATCTACTAATGGGCTCTAACAAGAAGGGGACTTTGTACTGTGGGGATAATACTGAATGGGCAGTAAGTGGATCTGAGTTTAAATCGTATTCTAGTTGAACATTCTTCTGCAAGTAACTTAACTTCCCTGGATCTCAATGTCCTCATCTTTTAAATGCGGTAATAGAACTGGCAATAAAACATGGTGGTTCTATTTTAATTTGCAGGTAGTGTTTATAAGTAATCTGGGGAGACACACAGGAACACATACACACACTCAAATACAGAAAAAATGAGTAAAGAGCATTGCTAACTCTCAACAAATACTTTAAAGTTCTTTCTTAACACTATGGGCTATGGAGGAGAAATAACCTTTATCCTTGGGGAATTTTATGATCTTGTAAGGGAGACAAAACAAATTTGTGTGAACCAACTAGAGAACAATATAAAGCCACATATGACAACCTTGGATTAACCTTATTCTTGCGGAGCTCCCTTTAAAATATGACTCACCTGAAACTCAAGAAAACCAGACTCGGCAATAAATGTAAAACCCAAGTCCCTCGGTCACATTTGCACTGAAATGTAAAATAAAGGGTTAGACAGGTACAATTTCCTTTGTAGTGATAAGATCCTCTGATTCTATTATATAATCTCCAAAAGCAGGTCCAAATTGAATACTTTTTTTCTCCTGAAACTAGATTCCTTTCTGTTTAGTAGAGTCCCCATTTCCAATTTAGGGCTTTGCCAACCCCGTATAACTTCTTTGCACAAAATTCCCCATGATAAGGTCAAGGAGAAGGCCTTACATTATGTCAGCCCCATTATCTGAGCTCGAGAGCCTCCCTTGGCTCCACCCCGTCTGGGCAATGCAGTGGGAGAGGGGACTGGACTGGGGGTGGCCAGGTGGCTGTCTGGCCAGCCTGGTCACAAAGACCCCAGTGAGTGTGAGATGAGCACATGACAGGGGCTCTGGGCAGGTCAGACTTGACGCCTAACTTGACCCCACTGACAGCCAGAGTTTGATAAAGACATGATTGAGTTGGAGATTTCTTTCTGACAGTTTAATGGATAGCTATAATTAGGGGCCCGCTCTGAGGGTGTGGAAACACATAGACCCCATTGTAGGGAGGCTAAATGCTACAAAGGTCAAGGCCAAAATATGGTATGAAAGAAAGTCAACATTTTCCAACATGCAGGAGAAATGAGTCAGTAGTGAAACGCGTTTAACGAGCATGATCAAGCATACCCAGTTCTTTTCGGTTCTTGAGCCTGATGGTTGTCATCAGTGGTGGCTCTCTGAAGCAGAGTTTCAGTCCTTGTGGCTCCAGAGACTAGCACTCTGAAGGTGGAGCTGACAGGATAAACTTCCCACCTGATCTCAGAAAGCAACTGACTTTCTTTTCTTCTGGAACCATCTCCCTGACTAAAAATAATAATGACAACCACAATAACTGAGACATACACATCGAATTTTAATGTTAAATTTAAACAGTATTTGTCAGTTTGTTTATACTTCTTTGTCAAAATAATGATTAATGAAAGTGGCTTTCAGCCCTAGATACTTTCTGGGACTTCTTAAAAGCCTTTTTCTTAGAATAAAGGAGTCATGATGTGCCAGCCATAATAAGATCCAACTAACAATGATCAAAAAAAAAAAAAAAAAAATACAGTGAGTAATGGCAATAATGTTCTCATTAAAGGAAAACAGTTCACAACTTAGACAGAAACAGAGGGAATTAGTGAAACTCCATCCACCGAGGGCTCATAGGCTGCCCTTGGAAATACTCTTACCTGGTCACAGTACTAGTGAATTCATTTCCTGGTTAAGTTGGTAAGGTAGGCATCTTGCAAGACATTCATTAATCGAAGAATCAGATAATCCCAGGGCTGAAAAAGGATTTTGGAGGCCCTAGAGTGCCAAGAGGCTGACCCACCTCTGCCATATGGATTCTGATGAACAGAAGCTCTGACTCCTTTACACTGCCTATCCCAATCTGGGTAGCTATGAGTATTAACAAACTTGTCCTGATGCAGTAGTCTCCCTTATCTGCAGTTTCACTTTCTGCAGTTTTAGTTACCTGTGGTTAACCACAGTCCAGAAATAGTAAATGGCAAATCTCAGAAATACACATAAGTTTTAAATTGCATGCCCTCCTGAATGGCATGATAAAAATCTCATGCAGTCCTACTCCATCTCACCCAGGACATGAATCATCCTGTTGTCTGGCGTATCCATGCTGTCTGTGCTACTCACCCATGAGTCACATAGGAGCCGTCTTGGTTATCAGATTGACTGTCATTTGTTTTGCAGTGCTTGTGTTCAAGTGACCCTTATTTTACTTAACAGTGGCTCCAAAGAACAAAAGTGGTGATGCTGGCCATTTGGACATGCCTAAAAGAAGCTGGGAAGTGCTTCTGTTAAGTGAAAAGGTGAGAGCTCTTGACTTAATAAGGAAAGAATAAAAATTACAATATTAAAGTTGCTGAGATCTACAGTGAGAATGAATTTTTTACTGGTGAAATTGTGAAGAAAAAAAAATTCATGTAGTTTTGCTGTTGCACCTCAAACTTTATTATAGGTATGTATGTATAGGAAAAAAACATAGTTGGGGTTGGTACTATCCTAGGTTTCAGGCATCCATTGGGTGTCTTGGAACATATTCCCTGTAGATAAGTGGGGACTACTGTATTGAGCTAAAATCTGGTTTTTTTTCTACCTCCCACTGATTGGTTCCATTCTATCAATTGGGGTCATATAGAACAGGGCTAAGTCCCTGTTATATATGTAACTAGGACTGGTTATGTAATTTGCAGGGCCCAGTGCAAAATGAGAATGTGGGGCCCATGTTAAAAACTACTAAGAATTTCAAGATGGCAACAGAGCATTAAGCCAAGGGTGGAACCCTTCTAACTGCAGAGCTCTGTGTGGCTTTACAGGTAAGCACACCCAGAAAGCTGGCTGTATAGGGATCAGTGTTAATAGAAGGAAACTTTATTTTTCCTCCACTTTGTGTTATAACTTTTTTCAATTCCTTCTTCCTTCCTGCAGATCCCATGGAATATTCTGGTCTTTTGCAGATATTAAAAGCCCAGTTCAATATTTTATTAAACTCCAAGCTCTCAATCACTACCTTTGCCCTGGCTGGGGCTGGGAAACTTGCAGAGACTTGCCTCTTCTCTTTGTCCTCCTGGCTGGTCTACTTCCCACTCTTCATGTTGCTGTTGGCTCCTTCAGGGCTGGCCAGGGGTAGAAGGAGAAGGGCAGTGGATGGGAAAGGTCTTCCTTATTTGGCAAGCCCAGGTAGGATCTGGCGTAAGGGCTCTCTGAGTTGAGCCCCCAAGTGCTCCTCCTTTCTTTCATGGGTATGTCTCTGGGTTCTTCTAAGCTCCTCCTTTGGAGACTTCCAACTGCAGTTTTCTGGTGCAGGGATGTCTCCTTTGGCTAGAAATTAATGACATTCTCCCAGCCCATGGCTGGTGGTTCACTGCAGTCTCCTTCTGCTGGGGTCGTCCACCCTGCACTCCCTAATTCCTGTGGTCCTCTTGGATAGAGTTTTCAATCTGCCTCATGCTGGTTTCTTCCTCAGGTTCACATGTGGACCTTAGGAAATGTGTTTTTGCCCTGCCATTCGCATAGCTCCCTTCAGTCTGCCAGCACAGCTTCTACTCCCTGCCCACAGCCAGAGACTCCCTCCTTCAGATTTTCTTCCAAGTAAGTGTGACGCAGATACCAGTTCCAGAATCTGCCCCAATTCCAAGGAATATATGGCAAGCCTGTTAGAGATTATTTGAAACTCATCTCAGTTGGCCTGAATAGTGGAGGATTAGGAGGGCATTTCAGCATACAACTTTCTTTTCTTTTCTTTTCTTTTTTTTTTCAGGCAGAATTTTGCTCTGTTGCCCAGGCTGGAGTGCAATGGTGCAATCAAGGCTCAGTGCAGCTTCAATCTTCTAGACTCAAGCAGTCTTCCCATCTCAGATCCTGAGTAGCTAGGACCAAAGGCATGTACTACCACACCTGGCTGATTTTTTTTTTTTTTTTTTTTTGGAGAAATGGGGTGTCACTTTGTTGCCCAGGCTACAACTTTCTTTCTGAAGAAAGCTTACCATTTGTTGCTCCTCCCTAATGGATATTTAGTCTTTTCTTAAATCATCTGGAGATGAGTGATAGACCAGTGCAAGCGGAACAAATTATTGGTGTTGCCCCTTTCTCTAAATTTGAAGGTAGTTGGCACCTATTGTGCTTAGTGTTAGGGCTCTAGCAGACAGTGAGACAATAAAGAGAAGTCCCACTTGAACATCCTGTTACACAAGTAATGGACTAAGAAACATTTGAGGATAACTACAGCTATGGATTCAATGTTTGTGTCCCCCACAAATTCCTGTGTTGAATTCCTAACTTCCAATGTGGCTATGTTTGGAGATAGGGCCTTTATGCAGGTAATTAAGGTAAATTAGGCCATAAGGGTAGGGACCTGATCTGGTAGAATTTGCACCCTTATTCTTAATTCCCTTTCTCTCTCATGTGCCCTTCTCTCTCCACCATGTGAGGACACAGTGAGAAGGAGGACATCTGCAAGCTAGGAAGAGGGCCCTCAACAGAACTAAACTGGCTGGCACCTGGATCTTGGACTTCCCAACCTTTAGAATTGTGAGAAAGTAAATATGTGTTGTTAAAGCCAGTCTGTCTATGGCATTTTGTTAGTCAGCCCGGGTTGAGTAAGATGACTACTCTGCACTTTGGTGAGTGTTCCCTTTCTAAATGTGAGGACCTTTAATCCATTCCTTTAATCTTCCCCAGCAGACCAAAATCTCTTTGCTCACCTCTCTGGACAGGCTGTCATTTGTTACATATTGGAGTCACATTTTTCAAAGGAATTGTTCTCTGTGGAGAACAATGAGCATAAGAGAAAATTGTGTTAAGTCACTTCACTCTTGAAAACCCATTTGGTTGTTCTTAAAATGTAAATATAAAATATGAGATTAGTAGGATAAAGAAGGGTTGGATGCACAAACATATAACGAGGATTACTGTCTTGTAAACACAATTTAGATGGTTGTCTTTCTCTTTTGCCAAGGTTGCATGGTAGCATTTGGGTAACGTAAATGCACTTTTGATTCAATGTGACTGTATTTAACTTTAAGGATGGTGCCTGGATCTAAACATGCTATCCCAGGGTGGTCTCCTGAGCAAAAGGAAGAGGACTCTTAACCCCGAGACCCAGAAGCTATAGTTCTCTGAATGAGACTGAAAGTGCAGTGATGCTGGTGGCCTAAATCCATCCTGCTGTCTCATTTATTATCTCATTTTCTCTATTTTATCCTTACTGTATGCTTTTAAAATGCAGGTACAGAACTCATACTTATATCTTTTTAATTGTCTTTCTTTCAGATTCTGCCGTTTGATGTATTAAAATATATTTATCAATTTTAAAGTATCTCCTCACATGATGCTTATTAATTGCAAAGGGAAAGACAGTTAACATTATGGAGGGGAAACCTGACAGCCTTCCCCACAAGCAAATGACCAGCGTAAGACACAGGGGCATCGTGTGCCTCTGGATACTATGCACTGAGAAGGACATAACACCACTGTGCGTATTGCTAAAAAGGCACAACCTCCATCTAACCTTGAGAAAACACCAGATACACACCCAGATGGTGGAACATTCTATAAAATAAAATTATATCAATGTCATTAAAGACAAGAAAGACTGAGGACCTAGCTCACAGATTGGAGGAGATTAAGAAGACATACTGATTAAATGCAATGCGGATAAGAAAAAGGCTACTGGTGGGAAAATTGGTGAAATTCAAATAAGGTTTGTAGTTTAGCTAAGAGTATTGTATAAATAATTCCCTGGTTTTAATAGTTTTACTAAGGTTTTATAAGATGTGAATGTAAGAGAAAGCTAGGAAAGGTTTTTGCAATTTTTCTTTGAGTCTATCGTCATTACTTCAAACTAGAAGTTTACAAATTGTATTTATTGGGTCTCGCCTCTATGCTATTCTCTGTGCTGGGAGGACAGCAGTAAACAAGACACAAGCTCTGCTCACAGAGGCTCACAGTAGAGTTTGCAGAAGCCCAAGCAGTTATGCACTACTTGTTATGATGGGTGCATGCACACAGTGCCGCAAAGAGCGAACAGCTGAGTGTGAAAGAAAGTGTGCCACAAATCTGAATGAGAAATAGCCGTTGGCTGGAGAAAACTGGAAGTGACATGGAAACTGAATCCCAAAGATGGATTACAGCTATCCAAATAGACAAATGGCATGTGGAAGAGAGATAGGGGAAGCTGTTCAGGCACAGGGGCAAATTGTGCAAAGGGAGAGCCCGTTGGGGAACTGTAGGAATAGATGTGAGTGCCTCCTCAGTGTGCTGGAGGGCAGGAAGGGTGCGTTTGAAGTCTGTGAGCCCGAACGGGAGCAGGATGTAGGGGCCAGCCCAGGAAGGTCTCCCGAAGGCCTGCAAAAGAGCTGGGAACGTGAAGTCATTGAAGGATTCCAAACAGAGATTTGAAATGAGATTTATGATGTAGTGCATGCACTCTGGTCACCGAGTAGCTAATTGACGAGAGCTAGCAGTCAACGGCTCGTCTCTGATTCCAGTCACAGTCCGTGTGGCCAGACGAGGATATTGAGGTCATCCAGATGAGAGGACAGTGGCCTGAGTGGGTGTAGAAATCAGTAAATGCCTCAGTGTCTTTGTGAATCTCACCTCTTTCCTAAGAAGGAGAAAGGAATCAATGTGAATACCTACCATGAGCTGAGTTCTACACTGGACATTTCACTCTCGTCATTCCTTGATGTGCCTATCAAAGCCTGATGTTAGAGGGATGGTCATCTTCATTTTAATCATAGGTAATTGAGGCCCTATAAGGTTCAGTGGTTGAATCCACTCAGGTTCAGTGGTTGAATCCACTCCCTGCATCACAGAGGGGTGAAGGACAGAACTGAGATTCAAGTCCAGGTCTGCCTGGCTCCAGAGCCCATCCTCTATTTACTGTAAAATATCACATACAATCTAATATTATACCCGTCAGCCTCATGTCATTGGCCAGTTATCATGTGTAAGGTTTACAACTGAGAGAAAATAATCTCCAGTGGCTCCTGTTTTAGGTCAGACAGATTGTAAGCACACACTGAGCAGGAATCTGCCCGCCTGATCCAGCGCTGGGCCTGCACAGTCCCCGTGGCAAGTTCTCAGCACAGCAGGCAGAGTTCTGCCCCGTACCCTCCCCAACCCCTCTGTACCCCAGGCTGGCAGGTGACGGGAGCTGTGAAAGTTTGCTCCGCGCCCTTCACATAGTGTTCCAGTTAGGGATTTATTGAATGATCTTAAGTTATTTCTCATGCAGATTTGTGGCACACTTACTTTCTTTCACACTCAGCTGTGTTTCATGTTCAACTTAGATCCAGGTTCAAACTATTTCACAAGATGGTTTTAGATTATAAACTAAAGAGGCCGAAAAGGCAGGAACATTCCAAACAAATTAGGCCTCAAATTATACATTTCATAACTAAGTCTGCAAATGTAATCTTGTGTTGCCTCTCCTCTCTGCTCGGGGCCACCGTGATATCTTCCTGGTATTTTCAAGTGAGGTTCTGGATATATATTCTGAAGACCATTCGCTCTGACTTCTTATGTCTTACCTCCCTTTGCCCACAAAGAAACCTCTTTCCCCCTGATCACATAATGTTCCCTCTCAGACTATATCACTTTCCACACCTTTCCATTGCCAACACTTCCAGAGGTCTGTCACACTCTCTCTTCATAAATGTGCCCAACATGGTTCCCACCCCTCCACCTTCCACCCACTTCTAGAAACACACGTCTCACAGAACACTTTAAGTCCAGGGTTAGGGAAGCCACTTAGCTCCCAGAACCCATGGTAGATACAGTTGCAGGTAATCTGGGTTCTAACCAGCACAGCAACAAATTCTTACCAACTTAGTGTTCATGAGCAGATGGGACGCAGTCCTCCTCCTAGCCGAATTGTTAGCAAAAAAATAATAGCAAAGCCTTTGCTTGGGGTCTTTTGGGACCAAACCACTTAAAAATAGAATACCCTAGAGAACATTTTAATCCTTATAATTGAGGTATTTATCATCTAGAAATATAGCCATTTCTATGTTGCCAGGTACCTTAGGCTATTTGAGCAAGACCTCAATGCTTGAGTGATTGCTATGAATGCTAAGCCAGTCACCTGGGTGAATAGCAAAACAAGATTTTAAACAATAGTCTGGGCAGGTCCTATGCAAGGGAGAAATTTGGCTTAACCCAAAAGAATAGATTTTTAATGGTGGGAACTATGGGTAGCGTATTAGCAGCAGGTGAAAAATGTTGTGCGGGAGGCTTCTGCCTTCCAATACTCCTGTTTGTCTGCCTGTGATCCAGACCTTCAGAATTTGCTCTCATGTCCAGGTAGTTCGGTGCTGGTGGGAATCTCTCAAGTAATGTTTAATATTTAGTAGTGAATAATTTACGCGTAGTTTTCTCAAACTTCCTTTGCTCCTTTGCTTATTCATTCATATAATCAGAAAATTATATGAACCAGAGATTCAGATATGAGACTATTACTTTTAAAGAGTTTATACTGTGCCAGAGAGAAAGACATTTTAGTGGGAAACAGCGTACGATTAGTAAGCGCTATTGTTGAGTTACGTAAAAGGCCCCGCGGAACACAGACATAAGAGCCAGTTCTGCTTGAGGATCGCGGAACGCTCTGTGGAGGAGATTGTGTTTAAAGTCGCAGCTGGACACCTTCATTAAGAGGTGAGGTGAGAGGGGTGGCATGGGAGGAGGACATTTCAGGCAGGGGTGGGGTGACCTACCATCCTAGTTTGCTTGGGCCTGAGGGAATTCCTGGGGATCCAAGACGTTCACTGCTAAAACCAAAACAGTTCCCAAACAAACTCAGATGGTCAATCGCCTTAGAGAGGGGGAAATTTATGCTAAGCATGAGAATGGTTTGGCCCTTCCCATTTCTACAATAATGGTCTGTTCTATGTAGGTCAATGTCTCTTTTCTCTTTAGATACCTTTTTTCTTGCCTAGTAAAAGTTTTACTTATTATGGGTTATTTACAGTAAGAGCTTTAAGATCCACTTTCTATAACACGTCACACCTCATTTGCTCTCCTAAACCAATGCAATGCCTCAATGAGTCCTCAAGCAGAAATGAAGAACTGAGATCTGTTCTTACCTCTTGCTTTTAGTTCCCCTTCTCTCTTTCTTGTGCCTCTTTCTTCTTTCTGTGCCGACTTCCTTCTCCTTCCCAGTCTCTGTCTCTTTCTCTTTCTTCAGCACCAAGTACCTTCTCTGTTTCTGAGGAAGCAGCAGAGGAGCCTATGTGATCCAGAAAACTTGTTCTTGGGTTCTGGAAGCAGAGATGCAGGAATGGACCAATAAGGCACTAAACAAACCCATTTAGAATCTCAAGAAAGAAATATCTAACAGCATAATCATAACAACAACAATTTGATTTCTTCAGAAGCACTCCAATAGCTTCACTGGCATTAGCTAATCTTGTGCAGTGAGGAGGTGCAATTCCCTCTAGCCTGGCAGATTCTGTTTGGTTATAGTATTTATAGTGGCTCCTTTTCAGAATCCGATTCTCTGCCCCTTTCTCCTAATGAATCTCCATGTTGGTGGAAATACATTTATATCTTCCCTCCTTTAAAAACGGAATATGAGACTAGAGACAGATGGTATCCTACTCCCGATCCTCCAGGTTCACATATGTAACATATCTCTGTATCGTGTATTCAGATACGCTTTCCCATCTCTATACCTAACAACCACATGAACAAGTAGAACTCTGGGTGCACAAGGAATAGAACCACACAGAAGTTTAAAAGCTTAAAGCAGAAGTGGGGGTCAACAGAAAAGCCTGCAGGTCCTTGAAAGTGGGGTTGTGAGTGCTGGGTCCATCAAGATGCCCTCAGCACAGTGCACACCCAAAGGAAGAGCTCACTCTATATGTGTTGACTTCCTGATTGATGCATGTGCAGTGAGAAAGAATCAAACCAAAGACCAAGAAGTCTTTTATATATATACTTTTTTAAAAAATTATACTTTAAGTTCTAGGGTACATGTGCACAGTGTGCAGGTTTGTTACATATGTATACATGTGCCATATTGGTTTCCTGCACCCATCAACTCGCCATTTACATTAGATATTTCTCCTAATGCTATCCCTCCTCCAGCTCCCCAGCCCCTGACAGGCCCTGGCGTGTGATGTTCCCCACCCTGTGTCCAGGTGTTCTCATTGTTCAATTTCCACCTATGAGTGAGAACATGTGGTGTTTGGTTTTCTGTCCTTGTGATAGTTTGTTCAGAATGATGGTTTCCAACTTCATTCATGTCCTTACAAATGACATGAACTCATCCTTTTTTATGGCTGCATAGGATTCCATGGTGTATATGTGCCACATTTTCTTAATCCAGTCTATCATTGATGGACATTTGGGTTGGTTCCAAGTCTTTGCTATTGTGAATAGTGCCACAATAAACATACGTGTGCATGTGTCTTTATAGTAGCATGATATATAATCCTTTGGGTATATACCCAGTAATGGGATTGCTGGGTCAAATGGTATTTCTAGTTCTAGATCCTTGAGGAATCGCCACACTGTCTTCCACAATGGTTGAAACAGTTTACAGTCCCACCAACAGTGTAAAAGTGTTCTTATTTCTCCACATGCTATCTCTCCAGCATCTGTTGTTTCCTGACTTTTTAATGATCGCCATTCTAACTGGTGTGAGATGGTATCTCATTGTGGTTTTGATTTGCATTTCTCTGATGACCAGTTATGATGAGCATTTTTTCATGTGTCTGTTGGCTGCATAAATGTCTTCTCTTGAGAAGCGTCTGTTCATATCCTTTGCCCACTTTTTGATGGGGTTGTTTGATTTTTTTTCTTTTAAATTTGTTTAAGTTCTTTGTAGATTCTGGATATTAGCCCTTTGTCAGATGGGTAGATTGCAAAAATTTTCTCCCATTCTGTAGGTTGCCTGTTCACTCTGATGGTAGTTTCTTTTGCTATGCAGAGGCTCTTTAGTTTACTTAGATCCCATTTGTCAATTTTGGCTTTTGTTGCCATTGCTTTTGGTGTTTTAGTCATGAAATCCTTGTCCATGCCTATGTCCCGAATGGTATTGCCTAGGTTTTCTTCTAGGGTTTTTATGGTTTTAGGTCTAATATTTAAGTCTTTAGTCCATCTTGAATTAATTTTTGCATAAGGTGTAAGGAAGGGATCCAGTTTCAGCTTTCTACTTATGGTTAGCCAGTTTTCCCAGCACCATTTATTAAATATGGAATCCTTTCCCCATTTCTTGTTTTTGTCAGGTTTGTCAAAGATCAGACGGCTGTAGATGTGTGGTGTTATTTCTGAGGCCTCTGTTCTGTTCCATTGGTCTATATCTCTGTTTTGGTACCAGTACCATGCTATTTTGGTTATCGTAGCCTTGGAGTATAGTTTGAAGTCAGGTAGCGTGATGCCTCCAGCTTTATTCTTTTCGCTTAGGAATGTCTTGGCAATGCGGGCTCTTTTTTGGTTCCATATGAACTTTAAAGCAGTTTTTTCCAATTCTGTGAAGAAACTCATTGGTAGCTTGATGGGGTAGTCTATAAATCACCTTGGGCAGTATGGTTATTTTCATGATATTGACTCTTCCTATCCATGAGCATGGAATGTTCTTCCATTTGTTTGTGTCCTCTTTTATTTCGTTGAGCAGTGGTTTGTAGTTCTCCTTGAAGAGGTCCTTCACATCCCTTGTAAGTTGTTTTCCTAGGTATTTTATTCTCTTTGTAGCAATTGTAAATGGGAATTCATTCATGATTTGGCTTTCTGTCTGTTATTGGTGTGTAAGAATGCTTGCGATTTTTGCACATTGATTTTGCATCCTGAGACTTTGCTGAAGTTGCTTATCAGCTTAAGGAGATTTTGGCCTGAGATGATGGGGTTTTCTAAATATACAATCGTGACATCTGCAAACAGGGGCAATTTGACTTCTTCTTTTCTTAATTGAATATCCTTTCTTTCTCTTGCCTGATCGCCCTGGCCAGAACTTCCAACACTATGTTGAACAGGAGTGGTGAGAGAGGGCATCCCTGTCTCATGCCAGTTTTCAAAGGGAATGCTTCCAGTTTTTGCCCATTCACTATGATATTGGCTGTGGGTCTGTCATAAATAGCTCTTATTTTGAGATACGTTCCATCAATAGCTGGTTTATTGAGAGTTTTTAGCATGAAGGGCTGTTGAATTTTGTTGAAGGCCTTTTCTGCATCTATTGAGATAATCATGTAGTTTTTGTCTACCAAAGACCAAGGATTCTAATTCTCCAACAAACAAAAATACAAACTGGGAGAATGTTGTCAGTGGCACTTCCTGCCTTACACCACCAGTTTTTATAATTATTTCCCATGATCCCAGTGTCCTATTGACTCTTCTTAACCCCCAACAGCCCAAAGCTGTGGTGCCCAAACAAAGCTTCTGTTTTCCAGGAAACAGCTGATATTCCCATTGTCATATTCCTTATTTTTATTCTGTAAGACTGGGAGAGAGAATACGAGTAGGTAAAAGTTACAGGTTCTAGCATCAGACCTGTCCTCCACTCCTGGCTGTTGCTTACTACCTGTGTGACTTGGGCAAATCACTTCTTATCTCGGAGCCCTTTCCTTTATCTGTAGAATGAAGATAGCACAGATTACCTCAAAACATTGCTGTGCAGTTTAGCTGGGATAAGACTGGAGACATAGGGGTCTTCAGGGACTCAGGCTGACTGAGCAGCCCCGTAACCACTTTTTTGAAGGTTACTGGTTGACTAAGCCAAAAGGAAAAGAGAGCTCTGAAGGATGTCTCATTAGCACTTTAAAAAGTGAATAGCAGGTTTGCTCATGTCTGATTGGCTAGAACTGGTCACATGGTATCACTCAACCAGGAAGAGTCTGGGAAGTACAATTCTCACAGGTGCCAGGAAGGCACAAAGTTGGGAATATTTAGCAATTAGTACAGCATGCAAAGTACCTAGCACTATGACTGGCATGTTCTTTGTGCCACTCCATGCCAGCTGTATTTTAGTTCAGATCTGTTATCTATAAAATGTTGTACATGTATTGTTTAATATATTCAAAAGTGTTAATTGCTGGTAATTGATATATTACATCCTCCCTTTCAGAAGTTCCTACAGCTTAATAGAAAATTCCTGGAGTGACTCAGCTCTCAGTTAGTAACTCAGTGAGTGGAAATATTTGGAAGATTTCCTGAAGGAGGTAGAATTTGAACTGGATTTGGATGTTTGCATAGCATCTCAGTAACAAGCTATCAAGTAGGACTTCTGACCCATGGCACGGACTGCCTGAGTTCTTTGCTTTGTACATGCAATTTATTTATTTATGATTTGCCCACTTCTTTATTCATTTAGTTATTCATTAAATGTTTACCAAATGTTTATATGTGCCAGGCACTGGAGATATTAGCATGGAAGAAGGCAAAGATGTTTCTCTTTGTGAAGCTTGCATTTTAGTAGGAGAAGACACTAAACCAAAAAAAAAAAAAAAAAAAAAAAAAAAAAAAAGTAAATATAGTAATAGTATAGTAGGTGGTGATGCGGTTATCAATGAATGAAGCAGAGTAGGGAGTAGACATGCCAGGGTTACAGAGAGTGGGCGGGTGTTGCTATTTTGTTGGGGGTGGTCAGAAAAGCAATTGAAGGGGCAGGCTCTTTGCAAATCTAAGAGGGGAGCATTCAGACAGAGGGACCAGCAAGGGCCACTGCTCTGAGGAGAGAGTCTTCTGGACCTATTTGGGGAAAGACTGAAATGGTGGAAAGAACAGAGACTAGGAGCTGGGTCATTATCAGAGTTTTAATTTTGGCTCCGTTGTTGATTTGCTGCTGTACTTGGAGCTGGCAATAAATAAATTGGTTGCGAGGATCCACTGGGAGCTAGGCTGCCTGGTTTGAATCCCAGCTCTGCCCTTTACTAACTGGGTAAGTGGGGTGAGTTACTTCTCTCTCCAAGTTTCAACTCCTCCATCTGTACATGGGGTGGGGATCCTCACACTTCATGCAGTCTTCGGGAGAATTAAGTGAGTGAATCCACACAGAGCATTGAAACCAGGCCTTGACGTGCTGTGAGCCATCTCTGATGTTAGCTATTGCTATTAGAGCAAGTTATTTCCCCTCTTTGGGATTTAATATCATCGTCCAGCGATTGTGAGCTTTGGAGACATGGTCTCTTTAGCTTCTCTCAGGAAGTCTGAGGCTAATTTATATGTTATTCTGTGGACCATTTGCTTGTCATTTGCTCTCTCCTCAGGAACTGTGTTTTTTCACAGTCCTCATGCTGGATTTAGCTTCTTTCCAGTGAAGTCG